GTGAATGTTTTAAAATAATAACTAAGAAAATGACATGAAGGCTATGTTAACCAGTTTGATGGAAGTGTTTCAGATTGTGTGTGAAAACCCCACACTGTACCCCAGAAGTGCATTAATGTACATAGTTACCATTCAATAAAAAAATAAATAAATAAAAAATGAAAAAATATCTTTCAAAACTGAAAATAGACTTTTTCAGATATAGAAAACTTAAAGGAATTCATTACCAGTTGATCTGAGGTACAATACATGTTAAAGAAAGACCTTTAAGCTGAAGAATAAAGAATAATGATACTAGTACAGAATCTTGAATCTACACAAAAGATCTGAGAGTTCTACACATTTTAACAACATGGATATACATGAAGATAACTTTTATTATTTTGATCTTTTAAAAAATAATTGACCATTAAAAGGAAAAATAATAACAATTTATACAATATATAAAATTCATAGCCCAAGGCCAGAAAGGAAGAAATAGAACTAGACTGTTTTAAGGTACTATACTATATCAAAGTGATAAATAATTTGGATGTAGACTGTAATAAATCAAACATATAACATTTATTATGAACCCTTATTAATCACTCTTTCTCACTGGGGAAATATAACAAAGGTTTTTGTTTTTTTTTTTAAATAACTTTCTTGAAGAAAAGTTAGGAATATTTGTCTGAATTTAAACTGAATTCTTCAAGAAAATTTAAGAACATTTATCAGAATTTAAACTATATGTATATTTTGACCCACATCTTGACCTTTCAGAAATCCTAAGAGACTCATAATATGAATACCTTCTAATATAGTGATTCCTTTTCTAGGCATCTAACCTAAAGAAGAAATTAAACAAGTATCCAGACATGTGGAGAAGAATTCCCATTACAATATTATTTTGGAAAGCAAAAAACAGAAATTGGAAACAAGTTAATTGACATTCAAAATTATTTAAATAAATTCTGATATAGTCATCAGTGGGATTTCACACAAACATTAAAATTAAGATATATATATAACTATATTTAAATATAGTTAAATATAATAGTAGAAAAAATTCACACTATATTGCTAGGTAAAGAAAAATTTTAAATAATATGTATAAAAATTTCTCTCCTAATTTTGGTAAAAAACAAAATAAAATAAAACTGATGTATGTATATGGGCAGGCCCTGAAAAATAGAAGGATGTATAGAAAATTTTTCATAGTGCTACTTTGGCTAGTAGAATTTCTAAATTCTTTCTGATATTTGTTTATTGTTGCAAGGAGCATGCATTAATTTTACAATAAGTTTTGAACTAGTAAAACTACATCTCTTTGGGAAAAATACTTAAGAAGCTTGTATCACCTAATAATGTATTTTAATGTCTCCTATATTTTTCCATCAGAAATTTCTTCCAATTATGGACTGTTTCATATAGATGAGAAAGGAGAATTTTTTTTAAATCATTGGCTTTTATTTTTCTTTCATCATATTCCAGAACACATTTATGCTTAATGTATTTTTATTTCCCAGAGAATTAGGTATTGTTCTGAAGTTATAACTTTATTATCAGACTCATTTGCAAACTGGATTTTATTTTACATTTTCCTATTTAAGTATTTTTCAGTACATCAAAATAACTAATCCTCATGGCATTACATTTGGTGTATGTGAGTGTAAGCTCTGAATCGGAGGTGAGCCACCATCCTGACAACAAATGGTCAGATCACCACCCTGCTGGTAGTTCTGTGTCACATGGGGATCCTGTTTTCTAACAACCATTTTCAATGAGTCAAATTGTTGTGGTAGGGCATAGTTCAGCTAGCATACAGGTTCTTTGTTAGCATGAATCAAACCAAACAGTCTGATGGGATCATCATGAATATTCTCCTCTATCTCCTGGTTTCCTGGAGAGACATCATCTACTGAAGTGGCCTTAGATGTGCTGGCATCCATCGCATACAACTGTGTAGCTTCACCCTTGTCTGGCATGGGAGTATTCTGTTTCCTGGGCTTTCTGTGCTTCCCTTTATAGCTGTGATCAAGAGTGGCATAAAACATCTGTCTTTCAGCAGTTGCCTGAAAGAAAGACATGTTAATTTTTCATTATTTGCCTGTTTTAGAACTTTGTTTTCTGGAAATGTCTATGGACTATGAAAAATAAGAAACTTCTTTTCCGGGCTTTTAGTTACCATGTTTTGAGAAATTTCTCAATTACGATGACAGAACAAAAAATGATAGTCAATTCATGACTGTTGAGTTGGAAAAAAAAAATGCTTCCATGACACTTTTTTCTGGAATTTTCTTTCTTGTACTCAGAATGTACTTGAATGTTTTGGATTGACTCTTGCCTACCTCTATATCCATCTCAGGTAGCTCTTGTCCAAGTTGCTCTCACCAAATAACAATACTTCAATTTGTTAAAATGGAATAGGTATGATAGGAAGGAATTTAATAAATCTCAAGGCCTACTTTACATGAGCTTAACAACTGGCCATTTAATGAAACCCACAGAAGTCCTCTATTTTTCTACATGTTTAAGATTTAGAAGTATAAAATAGCAGTGTCCATTTAGATGACTGCTATCTGCCAATTTTCCATTTTTTCCCCACTATTATTTCCTTCTTGTCTGCCTTCCCAGATCCCCTTTGACCTCAATTTAGGTTGGCCTTGGAGATACCTATTCATGCACCAGAGGATCTAGTAGTCTTCCTTGGACTAAAGCTGGGTCAATACTAGGTCAATACATAGGCTACAGGCAGGCCTTGAATTTTGTGTTAGAAAGCCTAGGACTGAATCTTACCTCTGCCATATACTGATCATAAGACCTTGGGCAGTTTTTGGCTGGGGCTGGGTTTGAATCCACCACCTCCTGCATATGGGACTGGCACCCTATTCCTTTGAGCCACCAGTGCCGCCCCACCTCACACTATTGATATAAGTAGTGAATAAAGGTAATTATATAGAAACTATAACTACCACCCAAAAGTTAGGTGGCATTATAATTATTAGAAATTATAGCTAAAATATTAGGGCAGCAATTAAATAAATTAAATATTTCTGTGTTAAAAATTTACATTTAAAACTAGGACCAAATTATATCAACTTGTGGGTGCAGAGGTGAGGATGTAGTTTGGATTAACAAAACCCAGACTGCACAGGTAAGAGCATCTTCCTACTGGTACTCATTTCCATGCTAAGAGTGGAATGTTATATATTCTCCACCAGGCAGAAGAAATGGTTCTATTTACAGCCTTTAGGGTTTCTTTGTATGGCTTTTTATTCTTAAAATCATCATTTCTGCAAAATTGTAATAGCCACCTAACTGGTATCATTGCTCAGTGTCTTCCCTCACGTATCCCATGTACTGTCCTCAAAGTATCTTCCCGAGGTGTAACTTTCATGTCTCACTATCCTCTTCTCCCAAATCTTAGCCTGCAGGCTAAAGTCTGAATTTCCTAATCTGCCCTTCAAGTTTTTCCTTTTTGACACTACTCTGTTTCCAACTGTGACCCCTCTATTGCTGCACATAAATTCTGTATCCCAGGCCAGTTGGAAAATTCACTGCTTCCTATACAGACCTAGTGCTTTTTTCTGCTTTGGCTTTGCCCAGATAGGAAAGATATTGATGAAGTTTGAAAGGCACTCAGTAACACAAAAACTCAGACAACTTTTTGTCTGACCAGAACTTTGTTCCGTCTCTCTTCCTTTGATAAATTCTCCCCTTTCCCTCTGGGAAATTCTATCTGGTTCCAGAGAGGCTGCCAATTTTCTGTACCCCAAACATACCACAAGACTAAGCATGTGACGTAAATTTGACAGTTTATCAGTTGCCACCTATCCCTCTTCTAACAGAGGGTGGTCCAGGAATGGATGTGTGATTTCAGCAAAGGCCATTAGAGGTGTATATTACTCCTAGAGATAGAAAAGGGGCCTTTCCCTAAAGTTGAAAGGGAAAAAACTGGGGGAGTCCAGTGTCTTGCCCAGCCTCAGTGGAAGAGTCTGTTGATAATAGAAGAAAATGAAGTTAGTAACTTCATAAGGATAAATGGAGAGTGCTTCCGTCTTCAGTCATCTCAAAACAAACACACCCTTGGATCTCCAGTTATATGAAGCAATATTGTTCTATTTGTGCTGAAGTTGTTTGAATTTGATTTCTGCACTTACAACCAAAAGCATTCTAAACAATGCATGTCTGGTCAACACGTGGTCAATGTTATGAAGTGCTGCGGAGTTCAAAGAGTATGAGCCCTGAGAAGGAACTGCACACTGTATATTTTAATAGTCTCGTGCGATTCCACAGTGCTGTTTCAGTTGAGTGCATAGGGGGAAGACAGACACATAGCCAGGGCTAAAGAAATGTGCATGTATAGAAAGAAATGGAGATGACAGAGGAAGGTAAGAACCAGGTTAGAAACTAGAGGGGAAACAGGATGAAATAAGGTTTAGGTTTTGTATTTATTTTATTTTATTTTATTTTATTTTTTTGAGACAGAGCCTCAAGCTGTCACCCTGGGTAGAGTGCGGTGTCATCACAGCTCACAGTAACCTCCAATTCCTGGGCTTAAGCAATTCTCTTGCTCCTGCCTCCCAAGTAGCTGGGACTACAGGCACCCGCCCCAACACCTGGCTATTTTTTGGTTGCAGCTGTCATTGTTTGGCGGGCCTGGGCTGGATTCAAACCTGCCAGCTCAGGTGTATGTGGCTGGTGCCTTAGCCACTTGAGCCACAGGGGCCGAGCCTAGGTTTTGTTTTTAAATATTGGGGAGATTTATGCATATTGCTAGGCAAATAGTAATGATCCGTTAAAGATGGTTCTCTTTCTGCTGCCTATAGAGGTGACAGCCACCTTCTTACTCACTATCATGCCTGTCCTCACACCCCCTTATGAAGATGAAGATTGTTAAAAGGAGGACAAAGAAGTTTATCCGGCACCAGTCAGGCTGATAGGTCAAAATTAAGTATCATTGGGGGAACCCAGACAACAGGGTTCATATGAGATTCAAGAGCTAGATCTTGATGTCCAACAGCAGTTATGGGCACAACAGGAGTGTGACGCACATCCCACCCAGTGGCTTCCAGAAGTTCTTGGGCCTCATGTCAAGGAGCTGGAAGTGCTACTGATATGCAACAAAGCATACTGTGCAGAGATTTCTCAAATTGTGCTGTCCAAAAACTGCGAAGCCATGGTGGAAAGAGCAGCCCAGATGGCCACCAGAGGCACCAAACCCAATGCCAGAATGCACAGGGAAGAAAACGAACAGACAGCTTTATTTGTGCACATTTTATTTGTGTTTAATTAAAACCATAAAAACTGCCAAAAAAAAAAAAAAAAGGAAAATGGAGAAAAACAAAGGTGCAAGATCCTGGAAGAATTAGGAGAAATAGTCAAGAGCCTGAGGAAGGATGTTGGCTTTGGAAAGGAAAGAGGAAGGCTCTGATAGAGGGAAGGAAGAGATTAATTAGATTTGGACCTGGAGAGGAGTAACTCATACTGGTCTCCCTCAAATTTTACAGGACGTGGGAACAATTGTGACTTAACTTTTAGGTTTCCTGATTAACTCTTCATAATTATAGTAGACCAGGATACTAAAATTATAGTTCCTAAAAGGTACACATCATTGCAGAAGGATAAGGAGCTTATTTACATTTTTTCCCACAAATACTTTATCAAGCTTTATGCATAATATTGTACTTCTGTGACTGACCAAAGTAAAGTATTACAGCAGCAAACTGGATAGTGTTTTTTCCTGATAATGATTGTTCTAATAAAATGAAATTAAGCAAATATAAAGAGATTCCTTCTAATGTGTGAAATTAAATTTATGAGAAGAGTATAATAGAATACAGACTAATTTTCTTCAAAGTGGCTCTAAATATAGCATTTATAAAAGAGCAGACTTTTAAAGACATTTAAGTCTTTGCATAATTTCTATGTGAGTAGAAGCCAGATGCAGGTCAAATAAAGCTGGCCAGTACAATTCTACATCTTAAATAGTAACTTCTGTTCAAAATTCTAAGTACTTTTACAACTAAAGTTCTGTGAATCTCTGCATTTCAAATGGTATGGTTATATTTTAACCTCCTTTGGGACCTTTTCTTTTCTGGATTTGGCAGATTATATTATGGTTTTCATACCTTTATCTAAAAATATATTTTATAATTAATGGAAAATCAGAAGAAACATTTGATGACTGTGTCTTTCCTTTTTGACAGAGTCTCAATGTGTCACCCTCAGTAGAGGGCTGTGGCATGACAGCTCACAGCAACCTCCAACTCTTAAGCTTAAGTAATTCTCTTGCCTCAGCCTTTCAAGTAGCTGGGACTACAGGCACCTGCCACAATGCCCAGCTATTTTTTTTTGTTTGTTTCACTTGTCATTTAGCTGGCCTGGGTGGGTTTGAACGCACCACCCTTGGTGCATGTGGCCAGCGCTGTAACCACTGTGCTACGGGCACCAAGCCTGACTATGTCTTTTCTAAACCTCCCCACATCTTGGTTTATTAATCCAAACCTCAAAGAGAGTCATAGGAAAAGAATTCTCCCTTATCGCAAAGTTCCCAGGATGTGACCCATTTTAGGGAAAAGAATGTTTACTCAGAAAACATTCTAAGTTTGGATTCTGTGTACTTAAGACTGGAGTGCTCTAGGGCAAATTTTCAACCTTTGAGAAGGTTTGTAGAATGGGAATGATAATGGTGCTCCCTGACAGGAATCTAAGGAGATAGTGCATATAAAGCAGGTTAATAGGAGGCCTAACACTTATAATTGCTTAGGAAATGCTGGCCCTGTTATGATTTCTAGGGAAGAGCAAGAAAGAATATAATTTAAGGGAAAAGGTCTGGAGGTGGGGAGAAGAAAGAAAACTGTTTTAACTAAAATTCACTTCAGGAGCACGAACACTAAGAATTTTGAACGGCTTTTAATGAAGTTAGTGCTATATCTGAGGATATTGAACTGATTGTGGTAGAAAAAGTAGAAAGTACACATTTTTTCTTGGGCTTTTATGTTCCTGCTTAGATTTTTGTCCTTATCCCTACAGTAGCTGTGTGTCTATTTCACAATCTCTTGCCATAAGACTACAGACACAGGATTTGTGTTAAAAGTCATTTGCCTTTTAAAATAGAGGTATGAAGTTTTATATCTAGCAAATTTATCTTATAAGTACCCCCCCCCATGAATTCCTGGCGTCTAGGTCTTATGAGCTTATACATGTGCCAAATTTTATATTTATCTAATACACATATATTTCTTAATCTGAAAGTGAAAGCTTAATTAATTATTTAGGAATAATCCCACTTTCCCCTTCACATCTATTGCCTTTGTGGGCACATAATTTTGACTCTGAGTTTGTTAGAGTTCTCTTTAATTGCCACTGAGTTTACCTTTAGAGCTCAGGTTCCAGAACTTGACACCTGTTTTAGACTGCAAAATTTCTAACAGGCTTCTTCATATGCGTATCAAAGCATAGTGCTCTTCCGTTCTTGAAATATGCACATGTGCTTTACCCTAGACTGAACTCAACTCTGCAATACAAGAAACAAAACTCACCGGTGCAGGTGGGGTGGCTTCTTGCATCTCATTTACAGATCTCTCTGGTCGGGCTTTCATTTGTTCATAGCAGTTTTCATCCATTGGTTCTGGAAGTTAAGGAGATTGTGATTTTGACTGTGATTTTTGAATGAACCAGCAGGTGCAATTCGGTAGAACATTCGCCCTTGTCTATTCTTTGCTCAATGACACAGAACATTTTGGTTTTACAGCTTTTCACACTGGGGTATCTGGCATCAAAATCAAAATTAGTTACTAAATTACCCGAAGTTTTGGAAATTCACATTTCTGTTAATCTGCTATTTCAGAAAAAAAATGCAAGTTTAGGAGAATTATGATATCATAATATCAGAATCTGAAACATAATCACGTGTTTATTTTCTTATCATTTATATGGATATTGGTTTTTATATGTGTTTAGGGACAGAAAGAATGATACTTGGAATTTGCCCTTTTTTACCCCTAAAAGTTAAATCAGGATATTGATTTCATTTTGTGAAATTTAACTTAGAGATTATTGTTGTTTTGTTTCATTAATATAAACAATTGTTAACAAACAATATCTTTAACAGCTTTTCTGTTGGTGTCTAGACCTTCATTCTTTTTTTTTCTTTTTTTTGCAGTTTTTGGCTGGGCCTGAGTTTGAACCTGCCACCTCCAGTATATGGGGCCAGAGCCCTACTCCTATGGTACCGCCGTAGTCCTTCATTCTTTTAATATAAAAATATGATAAAATTGTCAATATTTTCATGTCATTAAGGTTTTTTCCCCAAAAAATTTTGAATTGAAATTCTTTTAGTCTTTGCATTCTTGGTGGTATCTATGTCAATATTGCTTGGGTCAGTATGGATAGAAATCTGATGCTAATTTAAAATTTAGTCTGCCCCTTTTCAAAAAAAGTGATTCCCTTCTGAGTAGTGATTGTAATGAAAATGAAGCATAGTTATAAACTAATCAAATGGGTCTAAAATGGACTAAAATTTGCCCTCTCACCAAATCAGTATTTTTCTAAGAGCAATTTTATTTTATTTTTACTTTACGTTGTGGGTTAGACAATGTTGAAACTCCTTAAATTAAAAGTCACTTAATTAAAAAAATAAAGAAGATTGTGATTTTGTAATGGAAAAGTAAAAACTTCCAACATGAATGAAAATATAGAATCCAAATAGGATTTAGTTGTAAATATGAAACTTCCAAGAATTACTGAACTGCTCTTTTTTGCTGGAGACACGGAGAGGTGAGGGAAACACTAACTGTTACCTACAGATCAGAAGGGGAAGTCTTTTGTCTCATAGCATGAATGATAAGACACAAACAAAAGTCCTTGGCTTAAGGACTAGATCATTAATTTTTTAATGCTATCTCAGGACATAACAGTGTCAATAGTAACTGCCATTTAGATGTTATAAAGAGCTTGAGTTAAAGAATTCCCTGTATTCTTTGCTACTTAAGTATTATGCAAATGGTGCATGGTGGTATAAGCACAGTATACATACACTAATTATTATAATTTGTCCAGTGAGTAACAAATTTTACTTAAAGCCCATTTATTTATTTTTGAGACAAGATCTCTTTCTGTCACCCAGGCTAAAGTGCAGTGGTGCAATTATTTGAAGCTCACTATAGCCTCAAACTCTTGGGCTCAAACTGTCCTCCTGCCTCAGCCTCCTGATTAGCCAGTAGATCTACATGCATGTGCCACCATGTCTGGCTGATTGTTTTGCAGAGACAGGGTCTTGCAATGTTGCATATATTAGTCTCAAACTCCTGATCCCCAAAGTGCTAGGATTACAAATGTGAGCCATCCTTTCCAGCATACTTAGAGGCATTTAAACCCAATATCCTACTTTTGATAAAGAGGGTTTAGATTATGATTTTCAACCCTATCATTGTCAATCAGTGACAGGCTATCTCAGCTCAACTGCCTCAGAGCCCAGGACTGTGCAGTGATGTTCCTTAGTGTCTGAAGCTTTTGCAGTGTCCAGCAGCCAGCAGACCTATACTCATTTTATCCTGTGGGGACATGCTTATTGAATCGTCCATGTTTTCTTCTCCCAGATACACCCATTTAAAATGGAGAAGGAAAAAAGGGAAGTGACTCATAGGATCCACAGAAATGTGGAATATACAAATTTGACCCCAGAGAGGAAAATACATACATAATATAAAAAGAGCCTAATAATCATGTAATCCTTTCTGAAAAGCAACACAGAGGAAGGATGTGTATAAGTGATGGTCCATGGAAAATCCATCAGCACATCAGAATCACCTGGGATGTCTGTTAAGTAACAGATTCCTAGCCCTTGTTTGGACTTGCTAAATCAGAATCAGTGGAGTAATACCTGGGCTCATTTAGGTGTGGAAACTGCAAATATGGTGGACTTTGAGCCACTGTAATACACAGAATTCAAGTTCTCAAATATTACAGATGTGCGCCACAATTCTGCAAAGTGAAACAGGAAGGACAAAATTTTTTTCTTTTTTTTGAGATAGGATCTCACTGTGTCATTCTGGGTAGAGTGCTGTGGCATCACAGCTCACAGCAACCTCAAGAGATCAAGAGATCCTCTTGCTTCAGCCTTCCAAGTAGCTGGGACTCACAACACCTGGATATCTTTACAGCTGGGTGCTCTCTCTTACTCAGGCTGATCTCAAACTCCTAAGCTCAGGCAATCCACCTACCTCAGCTTCCCAGAGTGCTAGGATTACAGGCAGGAGCCACCACAACTGGCTTGAGGATTAATCATTTTTAATAGTATATTCTTAAAATATAGTTCCTGATTCCTTAGAGTACAGAAATCAGAGGCTACTTTATAATGGAGGGAAAGACAAAATTAAATAAATTCTTAAAATAAAATTAACATTTTCCTAACTTTAGAATGCCATACTCTTTTGATATACAGATATTCAGATAAATCTAGTATAATACATTACTAGATATTTCTGTGTTTGAAATTTAGAGATCAACAACAATTACCCCCTGAGTCTCCTATGATGAATTGAATGAGTGCTTTGAGGGAAAGGGTGATAGCATCTTTCACAAGAACTATGGCAACAGACCAAGGTTGTCTGTTTTGTAGAATGCTGGGTGTTTTGTTTTTATGGGGTTGGGATGGTAGGAGAGAAAGAGGATGCCAAGAATTGAAAGTCACTTGTCAAATAAGAACAAAACATGTACGAACCACTCAGCAACGATTCTTTCTCCCCTAACCTGAGATCCATCCAGCCTTAGGTTCTTTGCTTAAAACATGAAAAATCAGAGAAAATGTTCATTGTCTCAGATTATTCACTTTAGAGTCGCTTTTGTATGCAAAGCACAAAGCACTGTTTCTGTAGACCATATTTTTGCCTAGAAATAGCTTTATTTCATAGAATTTTGTGCATGTCAAAATTCATGGTAAGAGTCTTCCTGTATTCTCATTACTAGTAGAATGAAATGAAAGAAATACAGAAAAACAGGATGTTGATTTACACTAACTACTGCAATACAATTTACAATACGCAGCTTTGGCAATATGGCCTAATTAATATACAAAATGTACTTGAATTTATGGCAACCACTAGGATATTTAAACATGATTTTGAGAAAGTACCACTTAAAATGCTTTGTGGAATTAAGTAAGGTTTACTTAACTTATTTATAAATTTAATTTATGGAAAAATATAACTTACCTGAAGTTATATCATCTAAGTTACCGTAAATTGGTGTGTCTTCTATATAATACTCATCAACCCTGTGATGAAGGAAAATAATTTACTTTATTAGAGTCCACTTTACACATAGTTCCTAACTAAATTCTCAGCTAAATTCAATATTGAGTTAACTATTGCATGGTCTTGTTCAACCTCAATCAACCAAGGTAGATGAGTTCTTGTGCAAGTGAGTGAATATGTATGTGTGTGCATTTAAAAAGCTGATTTTTGGATCTTCTTTCAAAGAACAGTAATAGCAAATACTCAGTGCACCATGTGTGAAGTGCTACTTCAAGGATATTTCATAGTTTCATTTAATTTCCACAATTCCAACAGGCATGAACTATATAATTCCTATTTTACAGAAAAGGAATCTGAGGCATAGAGAAGTTATAGAAGTTGCTTAAGGTCATGAGCTGGGATCAGAATTTAGATTATCTGTTCTCTTAACTGTGCCAATGCTCTGCCCCTACTCACCCAGACTATCACTTTGAACAGTTCTTTAAAACTGTTTACTAAGTAAATATTGCAGACTCACGTTGGCAGATGCCAAAAAATGATTTATCACTTACTACTTCCAAATGCTGGACTCTGTGTTACAGACATTACATCAAAGGTGTAAGGAAACTCTGCAAAAATAGTATTATTCTCTAGCTTACACAGAAACCTAAAGATCAGATTATTTTTGCTAGGCATGTGTGTAATATCAGAAATAACTACCAGATATGAAGCCAGTGCTTATTCCACCTTCATGTCAATACTAGGAGATGCATATTTTTATTCCTTTTTTTCATGTAAGGAATTTGTAGCTCATTGAGACTAATTAAATTGTCCAAAGACACACAGTAACAGGCAGTACTAGCACTGGAAGCTAGTTTGGTCTTAAAGTCCTACGCTCTGTCCACATTGAGAGGAAGTCTTGTTGAGGGTGATAACATTTCAAAGACTATAGGAAAACAGTGTAAGACTATACAGAGACCATAGTTTTGTGTTTATTCTCACCCTCTTATCCCCCAGCTAAGAGAACTTGCAAGAATACACAAATATTTGTTCTTGGTAGTTGATTAAATTTCCTTCCAGCCTCATGTGAGTGATGCTATTAAGATTGCAGCAGGCATCCTACCATTGTCACCAGATTATCATACTACCAATGTCATCCTACCACTGATGATGGCCCTAGTGACCAGATTTCACAGTGGCAGGCTGGGAACAGAAGAACATATCAAGTAGTGGGAGTGGCATTTCATAAAGTCCTGCCAACTGCTTTCACTTTGAGATAGCATGTCACTGACAGTTGGAGGGAACTGCATCAAAAGGAAAAAGAGATCTTATCTCAAGGAATAGCACCTGTATTACTCCCCAGACTTTTGAAGGAAGACATAGTGTATGTAAATAGCAAGTTGGTGTTCTTAAAACAATAGTTCAAATAATTTCTGTATGCAATGGCTTGAAAAGTCCAGATGCTGGCATGCATTTGGCTTGTCTGATAACAAAGGAATCATCCATAACCTTCTTCTCATCTGGTAATTCAATAAAGCTTAATCTTGGAATGCAGAGTAGGCCCTGCTTATGATTTTTCTCTGGCTATGTAGAGAATATAATAGCAGGAGGTGAAGAATTTTTAATAAGACAATCCATCCATTCTCTTAACCCACATAGATAGCAGATACAACCTGCAAATGATAAATCATGTCCAAAAAATGAATGTTTTCCATTCCTTATGAATGAAAATAAGATGTGATTTATAATGCAGTACCCTGCGTCTATAGGCAGGTCTCAAATGATTAATTATCTCAAATAAAGTATTTTTCAGGAGCAACGGCCTAACAGACATATTTTTAAAATATATTTTTACCCAGCAATACCGAATAACTCTAGCCAATTGCAAATATGTAAGAAACTTTAAGAATAAATATTTGGCCATGTTTTATGTGGAAGATTAATAACTTTTAGAAACAAATTAGTAATTGAGCACATATCTGAGAGAGAGTTGCACTTTTGAATTTTAGGCCAGATCAAACTCTCCACTGGATGAAATGATCTTTTAACCAATAAATACAATACTCCAAAACAACTTTTTTAAAGAACTAATATCTTTTACTATGGTCCAAGCTTTGTACTTTTATTTATATTTTTCTAGTTTTTATTTAATTTTTTCTGTATTTTATTAGGACTTAAATTCCTCATTATTTATGATCTGAATCAATTTATATAACTAAATTCAATTCTTTAAAAAAAATCATTGGTTCTACCTGATGACCTTGTACTTAAGGTCTCTAACTTGCAATTTTTTAATTTATAAATTAAGAATATTAAAGTAGCTAATCTCTATGGTTCTTTTCAGCTCCCAAATTCTATGATATATTAATAAATGTAGGCCTCCAACACCTATTTTTACAAAACAAATGTCTCCTGTAAAGTTGACAGACCCCTAAGTTTGCTCTTTCTTCAGACTATCAGAAGTTCATTTTGGTAATAGTTAACTTGCTTTCTGTAATAGGCATTTCTTTGAGTAGCCAGAATATAAATTTGAGCTCTGTCAGCATATGACTATTACTTACATATTATTACATCCATGAGAGAGGATGAAATTATTTATGGAAATGAGACTAGAGAGAGAAGTTTACTAGATTAGCCCTGGGTATTCTGATGTTTAAGGTTCAGGAACCAGCAAAGGACAAGGAGATGCTGGTGAGAAGTGGGAAACCAAAGGGGTGGAGGGCTCAGAGCCCAGAGAAGAGTATCAAGTGGAGAGCGTCAGACGCTGAAGATGGACCCAGAGAGGTGAGACTGAGGTGTGACCATGTGGAGTTCCTGGGTCACCTTGACAAGAGCTAAGTCAGTGAATTAGTGAGGACAGAAGATTGAATAGAGTGGGTTTAAGAAAGAGGAGAAGAGGAAAAGAAGCCAGCAAATGCAGACAGAACGGCAATGGGTTTTTCAGGTTTTGCTATAAGTGGGCGGAGCAATGGGGAGGTAGCTGCAGGGCAATCTAGGAGCAAGGGAGTTTTTTCTTTTCTTTCTTTCTTTCTTTTGTTAAAGGATGGACAATACAGTCTGTTTTTAGGATGATGAAATAACACAAAAGGGATAGAAAAGTAATGATGCAGGAGAGAAAAGGCAAAGTTTTTGGAGCAATGTACTTTTGAGTATATGTGTGCAATTATGATGATTTTGCTTTCTTTGGCATAGCCTGTGATATGGGTGTAGGTGTCTCCAACTTGGGATGGGAGGGCACCAGTGATAAGCCACAGATTCTGGATGGGGGCACAGTGTAAACCACAGCAATGTTTTATGGGGCTAGAGGCTGAAGAGTGAATCCAGTCATGTTGCTGGTGAATGGATGCTTGGAGCCATATCTAACACTAATTTTTCATTCTCTCCATCGGTGTTCAAGCTTCTCTCCAATATGCCCCTTTCTCTGTACAGTGTAGTCAGCCCAATGAGCTTGTATTGCCAGTGCTTTGAAACACTTTGCCAAAGTTTGAAAGAAAGGAAGACTGGAGTTAACTGCCAGCCTGACGATTTCCAAAAGGACAAGGAAAAATCTGAGAGCAATGGCAGAGCTGTGGGTGACAGCGGATCAGCCAAGAATAAGGTTTGTAGGACATATAACCCCTTCTGAGGGTTCCCAGAAATACTCAGGGAAGGGATCAGACTTCCTGCAGTTACACAGGATTGGGGCTTGAGTTATGGTTATTTGCACATTAAAACAAACAAGAAGCCGGAAGACATAGAGATTGGACTTGGTGATAATGTGGCCATGGTCATAGTGAGGGCCTTGCCTGCACCCCCACTCAGACATCTGGAATGTCAGGGAAGGAGACGCAAGAGCTCTACTGCCATGAGGATGATCAGCCCTGAGAACAGGTAAGAGAACAGTTAAGATCAAGGCCTGCTCCACAGCACTGGCTATATTTAGTTCAGTATAGTTAGCAAAGAAAAAAGTGAAAAGGATCTCTGCCCTGCAGGGCTCCAGAAACCCACAGAAGAAACTCTCAGAAGGTACAAGAGTGGCTGAACCGAGATGCTATTTTATGGTAAAAGCACCTCTAGTGCCACCCAGAAGCAGGCCATGAAAACTGCTGGGAATGTGTCTGAAGCTTTTTGAGGGGGACTCTGAAAACTAAGGAATCATAATAAGCTTAAAATTAATTGTAAACCTGAACCACATTCCTGAATTAGGGAATGAACATACTGGACTGAGCAGGAATTTTCTTAGATCTTAATAAAGCAGAATTTTTTTGATTAACTATTCTCTGTAAATAAAGTATTACAATCTGGCTTTTTTCAGATGCTAAAACTGAAGTTTATTAATGCTCATTTTCCAGGACTCACAATCTCATTGCAGGAGTTTGATTCAGATAGAACATTGGATCTCAAATCCACTATAGTCCCATTGCATTATCTACCTAACACAAATAAAATGATAGGAGTTGTGCAGAATTATGTTGTAAATGAAAACTAAAGTGGCCAAAGGGTCAATACCAGAAAATGTGTGTGTGATTTTGTTAGTTTTCGATGCTATGCTGTCCTTAAAGCGATTATGTTTGTGACCTTTTAATGCAGGAAGGGCAGCGATTTGGGGGAGTAGGAATATAAAACCAGAGGAGGGATTTTGTTTCCTTCCTGCATAGTTTTCCTACTGTGTAGGGGCGGGGAGAAAATACAACAGGAAATCCAGTGTGGAGTGAGTTAATTTCTTCTCTATTTAGCCACAAACCATTTTGTAGCTGAAGAGAGTCAGTAATTCCAATTCTGTGTAAGAAAGACAGGCCTTATTTCTCCTTGCTTTGTTTTAATGTTTTAAATTTTAATGGATGGAGGTAGATTTGGGGGTTTTTGTTTGTTTTCTGGAGCATCCAGGCCTCCTTGTAAAAATGATTTTGGTTCCCAAACTATGTAATTGAGAGAATTAAGTAAGTTATGAAGTCTAAACTTGTCGGTTAACACGCCAACCCCATCCTATAGATAAAAGCTGCACCATATATTTGAATTTTACCTAATGAAGATTTATTATAATAGATTACTAAATCTTTGACATGTGTCTTTCCATCTTTGTATCTCTATTGTTGCAGGACAATTCTCTGGGTAACCTTGGACCAATCCAGTTCTTCTCGCTTTCTTGCTTGTAATAATTCTTAAGAATACCGCTACAAAAATGTGCTGGAAATGCAACATCCTGGGATAAGGAGGAACTGGCTGGAACAGGCCAGGTTTTGTTCCGGTCCTTAAAGAAACAAATGCCGTGCCATGCTTTAGCCAAACATGTCACATTGCCCCCAGGGTACAAAACCCAAGGTGGGCTGCTTTCTGGGGTCCCTCAGCAGCAGCACCAGGGGAACACCTGCAGATGAGATCCCATCCACCCTGGGATGATTTTCTGAGCTTGGGGGACCAGATCTTAATGAATTATAGGCTTGTCATCATCCCTTGCTATTTATTTGTAAATAACAAATATACTTCATATAACTCACTGTGAGAGTGTTCTGTCTCATCAGACTCAGGCAAGTAGAAAATGTGCAGCCCAAAACACAGTGGGCTGAAGTGTGCACTGCTATCCCTCATGGTTGGAGAAGTGATGACCCTTGCTAGCCTGCATGGATTTGTAGTCAGCAAAACTTGTTTTGCAATTGTCTAGTGCACTGCTTATTTGTTGAGGAAATATTTGTTGAATGAATGAATGTTACAAAAGAACTAGCCTCTTTTCTACCTTTTCCCGGAGAACTAAGAGCCTTATTGCTTTGAAATGGGTATTTTACCAATTTTGCTTCTAACTTGTCCCATCCTGACCCCAAAGCCACCAACCTTGTCTTTAGCTAAATGATCAGTGAAAAGACTTTCTATCACATTGCATCTTAATTTCCTTGTAAAACGATAAGCATCAAATCAATCGTCAGAGACTAGCTGCTTCTACTACATGGTTAGATAAGACTTTCTGTCATATTTTTATAAAAGAAATAAAAATATCACTTTTGATATGAACTAATGTCTTAAAAAAATTATCTCACATTAAAGAATCCAAGCTAAGAGTTGTCATAAAAACAAAGCCTATATGTGTCTGCCCACAGCCCAAATCTTGAATCTGCCTGAGGAATTTTTCACATGGAAAATTTTTTTAAAAGACGTTTTAGAGGGCAAAACAGCTTGTAATCTTTTCCTACCCAGTGAGAAAGCTTTGTGTTTTTCAAAGACCTTTCAGCCTATCATTTCAGAAAGGTCTTGAAGAGCCCTCTAGGAAATTCTCTTTATTTAGATTTTTTTTTTTACTCCTAAAACAGAAATCTCCAATACAATGACATATCTGGGTCAGAATGTACTGTCCAAGAAAATGAAGTTTCTTTACTATGATTTATGCCATAAACCTTCTTTTAAAAAGTATACAAATTTCTCTACAACTAGCTCAAAAGTTTTAAAAAGAATAAGTTACATCTATAACTGCATATTATTTTAGTGTCTGTTTATCACATTTCCCAATTGTTTGCCATTTCCTTTAGAAACAGCATGCTACTAAGCATCCTTATATATGTGTGTGTCAGATATTTATCTATTCTGGATTCTCAAGTATAGCACAATTTTATATTTATAATTAGACTATACATTTACAATTTGATCTGAATCAAAATGTAGGATAGCTGCTTCTGAAACTAATAAGAATTCTATAGATACCAAAAGAGAAACTTATTTCATCCCTCACCCAGCTCTCTCACTGACTCACAAGGTGTAAATAACTAGGACAGATAATGTTAGAGCTTCTAATCTTCAGATGGGAGTAAAAATAATTAAAACTCACTTTGCATTTTATTTTAACCCACATGCAACATCCCTGAGCCAAATCTACCAGCACTGTAGAGTTTGTTACTTTCCCTTATTGGGAATCACAACACATGACTCAACATACCTGGGAATGTAGTCACTGGAGTACCTATACATTTTATCTGAAAGAGATTCAAAATAGACATATTAAAAGAAATTTGACATACATTTGTTAAATCTTCTACAGAGTGTTTTTATGGTTTAGCTTCAATGCTAACATCTTTGATCAAGACCCGGGGGACACTGCTGATTGAACTAGGGATTGAAATAAAGATAAAAACCTCCTATTGGACCCAATCAGATCCTTCTAATTTGGAATGAAAATTCCCAATGCAGCTTGGAAGTGATGGCACATAGCCCAGATATGTGGCCATTTTATACTCAGGAAAAACTAAGCAGAGAAAGCAGGACCCATCATTCCTCGGGACACTGCTGATTGAACTAGGGATTGAAATAAAGATAAAAACCTCCTATTGGACCCAATCAGATCCTTGTAATTTGGAATGAAAATTCCCAATGCAGCTTGGAAGTGATGGCACGTAGCCCAGATATGTGGCCATTTTATACTCAGGAAAAACATATCTGGCACATAGCCCAGATATGTGGCCATTTTATGCTCAGGAAAAACTAAGCAGAGAAAGCAGGACCCGTCATTCCTCCCTCTGTTGTGGTTCTGGTCTACTGTGGAGCACAGCTGTACGTCCTGCTTTTAAGTTCTACGAAACACCTCTGCATCCTCCTGGTAAGTTTTTCTCTTTGTCTATGCTGGTTTGAATACGTTTTTATTCCTTATGAAAAAAATAAGTATATAAAAAAGAAAAAAATCCCTAGAAGACAGACAAATAAGAAAAAGCAATGATCTATCTATGTTGGCATAAGAACAACATCATAAAATATGACGTTATGGAAGACGCTCTGGTCATAATTCCATTTCATCTACAAGACACAAACAGCAGTCAGGAGATATGAGGGCCTTAGGGAGAAGAGATCTGGAAAAAGTTGGAACATAATCTCTAAAATTAAAACAGTACAACGGGTTAAAGAAAAGTTCTCTTTTGTCTGCAGAGATGAGATTTATCAGAGATGTAGGACAATACAATCATGAAAAAAATGTTGTGTCAAATCTCAGTAAGTAATCCATTGTTGAATTTTGAAGGTGGTAGTTCAAAGACAAATAGAACAAAGTATTTTCACTCTAGTTAAATATATGAATTCAAAATATATTAGAAAATATAGTTTTAAGAAACTTTTAAATGAAGGCAATACATTCATAATGAATTACTGAGAAAAATTAAGGGGTAGTCGAAAAATTCAGTTTTGATAATTAAGATCAGTATTATGAAAAAATTAAATCTTATATTTATTAATAAATTTTCTTTGTTGAACTAGATGGACATACATAGTATGATGTTTACCATATTTGAATTGCTTATTATTAACTTGGCATTAAATAAAAGCCAGAACTTTGCAAAAGGTATTCACACAAAAATGAAGACCAGTACTATCTACATCTCTGACAATCACCCATTTACAATAGTATCAGAATGGTGATCCTTCAGCTACAAGCTATGAAAAATACTGTGTGTCAGTAAGGAACTAGCAATAACATTTTCAAATAATTAAGTCATTGAACTATAAAGATTATTTTCAGTTAGATTTATGTGTGACGAAGTTGAGTTACTCTCTAGAAAGGTTATTAACTGTTAAGGAAACATTAGCAGAACAATTTGTGAAAACAATCACATTAGAGGATGAAATGGACATGTCACATGACAATGTGTTAGGAAGAATTCTATGAAGGACCAAATGAGGGAAGATTTTGCAGAGCATATCGTTAAGCTGCTTTGGGACTAAAAGTGATGAATGGAATCCATTTGGGATATGGCAGAAATACACTTCTAGCAGAGAGAAAATGTCCTTCCATGAAATGCACATAAAAGATGGTTACTTTCAACTACTTTCAGATGAGTCTTGAATGTGAATGCACCCAGATATGAGGACGAGCTGGAGAGGTCAAAAAGATGTTGCATGTACCAGGCACAGTGGCTCAGGCCTGTTAATCCTAGCACTCTGGGAGGCCGTGGTGAGAGGATTACTTGAGCTTAGAAATTTGAGACATGCTTGAGCAAGAGCAAACCCTGTCTCTACTAAAAATAGAAAATCAAGACTGGGGGTAGTGGCTCACACCTGTAATCCCAGCACTCTGGGAAGCTGAGACAGGTAGATTGCCTGAATTCAAGAGTTCGAGACCAGACTTTTGCCAGAGCAAAAGTGAGACCCTGTTTCTACTAAAAATATAAAAACTATCTGGGCATAGTGGCATACACCTGTAGTCCTAGGTACTTGGGAGGCTGAGGTAGGAGGATTGCTTGAATCCAGGAGTCTGAAGTTGCTGTGAGTTTGGCTAGTCCCATAGCACACTGAGGCAATAGCATTAGATTTTGTCTCAGAAAAATTAAAAATAAATCTGTAGATTGCTTTGGGTAGTCATTTTAACAATATTGATACTTCCCAGACATGAGCATAGTATGTTCTTTCCTTTGTTAATGTCATTATTTGCACTCAAAAAGCTGTTTATGCAGCTCAATTCATAATTGAAAAGACATAGAAACAATCCAAGTGCACATCAACCCATGAATGGATTAATAAACTGTGGTATATGTACACCATGGAATACTTTTCAGCCATTAAAAAGAATGGAGACTTTGCATCTTTTTTATTTACCTGGATGGAGTTGGAGAACATTCTCCCAAGTATCTCAAAAATGGAAAAGCAAGCATCCCATGTATTCAATAGTAATCTGAAAATAGATCAGCAACTACAGGCCCACACAAGAGAAAAACAAGTTGAGGAAGGCAGGGAGAGCACTCATTAAATTCCCATTTAGCAGGTACAATGCAGGGGTAAATGGCACACTTCCTCCGTGAAGGGCTAGATGACAATCCGACTTTTTGGACTTTAGGTTACATCATTTGCATTCATAAGGTAATCATATGTACCCTCATATTAACCCCCCAAAAAATAACAAATAATTTTTTTTTTAAAGTAAAAGATGTTGCACAGTAGCCACAAGTTAAGGGAAGTTCACCAAAATCAGCAAACTTGAGAAATATAAATGATATCAATCAGCATAAGAAAAATAAGTTAATACAGATCAGAAACTTATAAACTGGAAGATAAGACTTGTTGTTTTTTTCTATATGAAGAAAATGTTAATACTCAGGTTACTATTTTTCAGATTTACCTGGAATTAAAATACACGTACAAGCATTTAGTAAAACTGTAGCCTGATGTATTATGGAAGAAATTCAGGGTTAAGAATCAGAAGACATAGATTTGGCACCAATTATGCAATGCATTTGCCATCCAGCAACATGCAAATTACTTCAAAATTCAGATTCTGTTTTATCCAGAAGTAGAATTGATAATGCCTGTGTCATGGAGTAGATGTGGAAGATAAATAAGATAATTTTATTAAAAACATCTCATGAAATGGCTCAGTTTGTCATTATATATTCTAAATACAGAATATAATTGTGTCTGCCTGTTTGGGGAAGTTTCTTTATTAAATGAGTTAACTGAAAACAGGCTGATGTTATTAATATAGTATTTTAAAGTTAAGAGATTTATAAGTAAAGCTTGATTTGAAATGAAATTACTAAACCTCACCTTTGGCAAAAGAACTGTCATCAGCTAAGCATTATTTGGAAAGAAAAGATAAAAAACAATTTAAAAATAGTTTCAGTGCTTAATAAGGAAAAAATTAGGTATGGAGTAAACTATTTCCCCAGATTAATATTTTTGAAATATAACATGGGATTTTTCTATTAGAGGTACTTAAAGTATAAATGTTGGTACCTGGAAAGTGTACTAATGTAAGTGTAAAGGTCAGAAGGAAAATATAGCTGGATGTATTACCAGCAGAAAAAACAGCACAAAAAAGTAAGATCAAAACCTTTTTGGAAGGAAATATGGAGAATCCTCAAAGAAATCAAATTAGACCTTCCATTTAATCCTGCAATCCCAGTACTAGGCATCTACCCAGAAGAAAAAAAATTATTTTATCAAAAGGACATTCACACTAGATTGTTTATCACAGCTCAATGTACAATTTTCAAAATGTGGAAACAACCTAAACCCCCACCAACCCAGGAATGGATTAACAAGCTATGGTACATGTATACCTTGGAATACTATTCAGCCATTAAAAGAGATGGAGACTTTACATCTTTTGTATTGACCTGGATGGAGTTGGAACACATTCCTTTTAGTAAAGTTTCATAAGAATGAAAAAGCAAGAATCCAATGTACTCAATTCTAATATGAAGGCAGTAGATGATCTAATACACGCCCACATAAGAGAAAAACTCAACTGGGTGGGGGGAGAATGAGGGAGGGGGAGAGGGGAGGAGAGGAGGATGGGTGTGCTCCATTCAATGAACACAATGTTAGGGTGTATGGCACACGTCTTGGGGCAGGACACAATTATAAGAGACTTTACCTAACAAATGCAAACATTGTAACCTATTTCTTTGTAGCCTCAATTAACTGGAAAAAAAGAAAAGCTTTATGGGCAAAGAGAATTAGAATCAAGTAAGTTATTATTACTAACATAATAATGTTTAGATGGAAGGAAAGGGGACTAAAGCAATGTGAAAAAATGACAGTATGCAATGGGTAAAGGAGCACCTGAAACGGGGCATGAGAAGTTCGAGGGCATTCACTCCATGTTACTCTCAGGATGTAAATGTATAATCTGGAGCTGGGTGATCAGGAGTGGGAGGCTTTTTGTTTTACAATCCTTCCTAGAAGGTTAATAGAATATGATCTCTTTAAATGGGAGGACTACTAAAAAGCTCAGCGGTTGCCGCTCAGAATAAAGGTCAGTGAGCTGAGGCTCCTGAAAAGAGTCTGCTGGTCGTGAAGGATCTTAAGTTTATTTAGAAATCACCTGGCAGATTTAAAAGCTGCCTAGTGATTTCCATGGTATACAGCAAAACAAAAAGTATGCCCTTTGCTGTAAAACAATTAAGCACGCAAGATGGTGTGTGGGAAAAACCAGGTGCGCCTTCACAGTTCTCTCCCGTGATTCAGATGCAAACCCTTGTGGTCGGGTTTGTAGTTGAGAGGGTGTGATGCAAACATAGTTGCTTTTATGTTTTCCCCTGTAGGGCATTCATTCTCCTATGCACTATTCAAGAAAAAAACAGCACATGGTTTAAACTCCATAATAAAATCTTCCTAATACATTTTCAATGTGAAAAAATGTGCAATAATTTTCTAGTAAACAGGAGATGTACTGATAGGACTTTGATGTATGAGCTAACCATACACTTGTTTATCCTTCTCAAAGCAGAGAGGAAGAGTTAGATAAAGATATTCTTTGGATTTAAAGGAAGAAAAAAAGCTAATGCATTCCCATCACAAAAAGAAATAAATATAATCCTCCTAAAGAACAGATTTGGACAAAGAATCACATAAAAATGAAAGATTTATTTTGTGAGGATAAGAGAACTCCATTTCAAAGTGTCTACCTAACTGCTACAGGAAAACATCAAGGAGAGGCTTATCTGGTCTATCTGATTGAATTTGTAGATACTGCATTGTTGCTGGGATGGAGATTTTCTTTTGCAAACTATTTAGTACATCAGCAAAATGTATTCACTGACTGCTCCTCAAGGTGGAGTCATATCTTGCAAGTTTCTTAGCCACAAAAAGTCACACAAAAATGCAAACATGAAAGAGTTACATAAGGTCAGATACCGGAGCATTGCATTCACAGACAAAGTAGCAGAAAAGCTGGCTGATATGATAGAATCTCTTCTAGTCTGTCTATCCTGAGAAATAAGGCAGGGACAAGTCTTTGTGAGAGGACTGGGAAAGAGTCAGTTTGCAGAGCTAATCTCAAAACTACCTGAAATTTCTGGATGAAAGAGAAAGATAGTTTTAGACTTACTTCTAATAACCTGTGGAAAGATGTCAGGAGAAGTTGGGGCAGTGGGAACAAGCTGCAGAGAGGAAGAGTGGAGGTGGCATGAGAACAAAAGGCATTCTAACAGCATTGATAATGGCGCTCCAAGGCTAGTCTTGGGTTTACACATGAATAAAGTGCAAGGCCCGGGGTTGGGTGCTCCTTAGAAGGAGGGCACGTCATTGCTTAAATAAAAGGATTTATGATAGGCTAATGTTCAGAACCAATTCCATGAAAGCCTACAGAAAATTTTCCGAAATGGACCTGAACGTGGCTGACGTGAACGTGGCAATTACTGCTAAAGCTCAGGGTATTGTACAGACCCATTAAATAATAAGAAGATGGGGGAAGGAAGTAAAGTGAGAGTTGGAGAGGACCCAGAGGGCATAGGGATGGTAGGAGCAATGAAGAAGCCAGAGGAATAAATGTTTACTAAAATAACAGACATTAAGATTAAATGAGATGGCAGGTAGCCATCAGAGGCCCTTAATACTTATTTGTGGAAGAGAGGAAGGAAGTACTAGAGCCACTAGATATCATGATATGGGCTATATAAGCTCTAGGACTGACCTACTAAGTCTCCAGCACTGTAAAAAGGTGGATAGTTAGATATTGATCATATTTGTTTAGACCGATAAAATTCTCACATGAATCCCATGATCAGAACATATTTCCTACATGCTATAGATGGTGAAACAGACTCAGATAAGTTATGTCACTTGTACAAAACACCTTGCAAATATATATATATATATATATATACCCTTCACCTTGGGTAGAGTGCTTTGACATCATAGCTCACAGCAACCTTAAACTCCTGAGCTCAAGCAATCCTCCTGCCTCAGCCTCCCGATTGGCTGGGACTATAGGCCTGCGCCACTATGCCCAGCTAGTTTTTCTATTTTTAGTAGAGACAGGGTCTTGCTATTGCTCAGGCTGGTCTTGAACTCCTGAGCCCAAGCAATCCATCTTCCTTGGCCTCCCAGAGTGCTAGGATTACAGGCTTGAGCCACCACACCCTGCCTCTTGTTAAATATTAAACTCACATCAGGTTGACAAAGGTATGGTATTAAAAAAAACTGAGGTGTCTGAAATTGATTTAAAAAATACATTAATAAATATCACTTATTGTCCTATTTTTAAAAACGTTTTCCTTTCCTACCAAAGTACTTTTAGTTAGGTTACTGCCTTTTAGCAGCTATCTTTTTAGTCAACTTAACTGTTACATATACAAGCTACTCCATAAAAGAGTTTGCAGGGTGGAAATTTGGCATAGACATAGATAAATAAACTTCAATGCACAGATGGTCAAAAAGGAAAATTATAAAACCTGTTCACAATGAGTTGTAAAGACTCATACAGCCAACTACTTTTGGGGCAGAAGTAGTAAGTCAGGAAACTAGACCAGTCCTGATCTTGGTCATATTGATAAAAAGTGGTTCTTATAAGTCCACTGTTCAATGTAATCATAAGACTGAACAAAGTGACCATTTAAGTAGAAAACAAATAGATCACATTTGCTAGACGAAATTTAAGTTACACACTGGGGATCCAGTTAAACATAACAGACTACTCCTCATTACTTGGTCTCACAAAAATCTAGAAAAGATATTGGCCTCTAGTTCAGATGCTTGTTCTTGTCCTGCCTTCTACCTTAAATTGTTTCAGCTCTCTAGCCCCCAATTCACCTTTTTTCTAATTTACCTATATTCATAAGACATCTTAATGAAAAAAATTAAAATATAGTCAGTTTAAGCTCTTCTATAAAGAAGTGCTACTCTTAACTCATTTTTTTCTATAAAAGAAGGAAACTTCGTAGTAGATGTCTAGTGATGGAACATTTATACATTTGACTTATAAAGCTTGTTTGAAAATGTTTTATTTTTAAATTAATTCCTGAAAGCACTGTGATTGAAAAAGAATCGTTTGCCTGAAATTTCACCTTAGGTATAGAACTGCTGTAGTATAGATCCTCTGAGAGTGTTAGGTTTCCAGCTGAGGACATTTGGTCAACACTATAAAGACAACTCATGCTGGTAGGAACCATTTTGGACAGAGAATTAGAAAAACCAGGTACTTATCCTTGATTTTGCCATTGAATAGATGTATGACCTCAGCTATGCCACTGCATTTTCTAGTGCCTGCTTTCTTTTTTTTTTTTCCAAACCCTGCAGGACAATAAAGGCCTTCTTCATATTTTATATTAGAATTACCAACACTGGAGAAGATATTTCTAAAAGGATCAAGGACATTCCCTGCAATGTGGCCGCTGTTCTAAATTAGCTTCATGCAATTTTTCTTGGACATATGTGTCTAACTTAATTTTTTTACCTTCGCCTTTCACTTATTAAAGAAAGTGCATTTCCCATTCTTTTATCATTATTTAAACGTTCTATTCCTAAGAGTTTCTTGTTATTAAGACACTTCCCAACACCGGTTGAACTCTCATTCTTCCATCCACCCTTATACTCGACACGGATGTGTCAGATGCCTACAGCAGGCAAAGGTTGTTCCCGTTGCTGGTTTATGCTTTTTTCAAGCATGGCACATGCACGGGAAAGGCACGTGGCAAAAACAGCTGCCCAGCCTATTGAGTAATAAAAATGACGGTAGCAGATACTCTTCACTGACTCGCCTAGCCCCTGCGAGAGTTTGAGAACAAGCCCTGGTTCAGCCTACTGCTTTTCCTGTCCCCTCTGAGCACACTCGTGCCTGCAGCACTTAAGAGGGTCTGACTGATCCTGAGGAAACTGAGTAGGTTTGAGTGGAATCTTACAGAGCTGGTCTTCCCTTGTCTTATCACGCATCACACAGACCCTTAGTGGCTGCTTCAAAATAGGCTACAATTCCACGGCTGTTCAATTGGAGGAGGAGAAAAAGGTTCACCAGATAAGCCCTTCCAATTCCACACCCCCAAACAGAGATAGAGATAAAGCTAAATTAGGGAGTTTTTCCCACACTTCTAATATGATTGCATTCCTAAATTAAAAGATGCCTCAGGGTGAAAAATGATTACCAGATTCTCTACAGACAAGAATATCCTAATGAATGACATTTCATGAAATTGTCTACTTCCGTAGATTTTTCCAGTGACTCCACAGTCTCCATTCAAGCAGGTACCATGTGGCTATTTGTCCAAGTGTCTTACCTTGTCGCTGCTTTTCCACATAGTGAGAAATGTTGAAGATCAGTGATATAATCAGAGCCAAACCCAACAAGGCTAGAAGTCCCCAGAGATAAAAGGGGCATCCGGAATTTCCTGGAAACAAAAGTAAACATACCCATAATATAATAGCTGCTTACCCATTTATTTTGGTCTAGCTATTTATTGGCACAATTAAGGTGAATGAATTTATTCATAACGAATGGGAGATCCTCTGCCAGGACATTAATTAACATTAGTAACTTCTTCTTCTTCTTCTATTTTATTTTTTATTTTTTTGAGACAGAGTCTTACTTTGTTGCCCCGGGTAGAGTGCCATGGCATCATCATAGCTCACAGCAACCTCAAGTGATCTTCTTGCCTCGCCTCCCAAGTAGCTGGGACCTAGCCAATGCCTGGCTAGTTTTTCTATTTTCAGTAGAGATGGGTCTCACTCTTGCTCAGGCTTGTCTCAAACACCTGAGCTCAGGTGGTCTACCTGCCTCAACCACTCACAGGGCTAGGATTGCAGGTGTGAGCCACTGTGCCCAGCCCCATTGGCAACTTCTTTATAGATTTCAAAGTGAGTGTTGCTGATGAGTCCCTGAATTCAGCATGAACAAAAGATTTCCAGTATTCCCCATGTTTATGAAATTAAAGATATTTTTAGTCAGGCTATTAAAAGGCAACAAATGGTATCTAGTTATAAAAACTTTTGTTCAGGCGGGTGGGGTAGCTTATGCCTGTAATCCCAGCATCTTAGAAGGCTGAGGCAGAAGGATGGCTCAGGAGTTCAAGCAGCCTGAGCAAGAGTGAGACTCTGTTTACATTAAAAAAATAAATAAATGATAAACAAATAAGTTATCTGGGCATGGTGGCAGGTGCCTATAGTCCCAGCTACATAGGAGGCTGAGGCAGGAGGATGGCTTAAACCCAGGAGTTTGAGGTTGCTGTGAGCTATGCTGGTGTCATGACACTCAGGCTGGGCAACAGAGTGAGACTCTGTCTCAAAAACAACAACAAAAATAACCACACACAAAAAAACCTTTTGTTCAAAATCAAGAACATTCAAATTACCAAGAATAATTTGCTATACATTTTCTCTTTCTTTAATCCTTAGACTACAATCATACTTTTTTGTTGTTTTCAAAAATCACTTGTTTACTTCCATAAATCTCAGATATATAGGATAATATATATTGGAATAAAACAATAATTCTGGAATCAGAGTAACCCAGGTTATTACTGGCCACAGGGAGCTTTTCTCATACTATTTAGAGCCCTACAAGTTTATAATGGAGAGTTAACTATGCCTCTCTTTCCCCTAGGCCTACACAGGGCTACGATCATCAGTATCACTGTCTTTCATTTCCACATCTTGTCCCACTGGAAGATCTTCAGGGGCAATAACACACAGGGAGCTGTCATTTCCTGAGGTTATAATGACTTTTTCTGGAATACCTCCTAAAGGACCTGCCTGAGACTCTTTTGCAGTTACTTGTTTTTGTTTGATAAGAAAAAGGAGTACACTGAAAAGTAACAATAAAAAGTAAATACATAAACCAGTAATGTAGCCATTTATCATTATCAAGTGTTATGTATTGTACATAATGTATGTGCTATACTTTTATACAACTGGCAGGTCAGTAGATTTGTGTGCACCAGAATCATCACAGGCGCTTTAGTAATGCATTGTGCTACGACATTACAAGAGCTACAAAGTCAATAGGCAAAGGAATTGTTTAGCTCCATTATAATCTTATGAGACCACCATCATAAATGTGGTCTGCCATTGATCAACCCATCATTATGTGGCACACTACTATATAGGGAATAGTGACAATTACACAGCATAGCATATTATAGTATAGCTTCACTAAGAACACATTGTGCATCTAATTTATTATAGAGTTGACCAGAAAGTCGCATTGCTTAAAATCAAGCATGAATGAATGCATTAATAATTTATCTTTGGCCAAACTGCACTTATAACTATGCTTTAGAATTAGTCCAAGCTGCAATTATTGAATATACTCTGGGTCCTTGATCGCTCAATCTTCATGTGCTAAAAGGATGTGACCCTGCCTGTGTGAAACTACTTGGATCTACCCTGAATGCAAGTAGAACGGGCTTTGATGACTTTCTATTCTGGGAAATGTCCCAGTTATGTTTCCAAAATTTCTTAAGAGAATGTCAAGACTTCTTCCATCTCACTGATCATGAAAGCATATAATCTGCCCTAAAATGGTAACAGAGTTGAACTTCAGGTTATATTCAGAAAATAAAATCTAAAATTCTCTCTCACCCTTTTTTATTCTATTCCATTTTTCACATTTCCTACCTTTATCAGGGCAGAATAAAACATGTTTCAAGAAAAAAAACCCAACCATATAAAACTTATCATTGAATTTGTTAATTATAGGGATACTGTGCACTATAAAATATTATTTAATGTATTATTTGATGTTTTAAGTAAAGGACCAGTACATTTTTACTCTTACATGCCATGTCAGTGATGTAATTGATTATCTATCTTTGATACATAATCTACTTTAAATAAATTTCGAGGATTATATGATACTCCTGCCCCTTATTTTCCCTTTACTTTGACTTCTTTGTTTATCTTTTTACATTCTTGTATGTATTTCTAATATCCTTCTATCTGGGAGAGGGACAAATAAATACCTAAAAAATAATAAATAATTCTTGGAAAAATGAGTAAAATCAACCTCTTTTTCTCTTAGTGTTTTTTCCTTTCCATTTCAGCATCTCGCAGTTATTAGACACTCAACAAGTGTTTAAAACATGGTACATGATACACTTTTGGACTTCAAAGAAATAAGTAGAAAGCCCTTATCTTAATTTAAGAATTACACTGAATTTAGCTATAAATCATCCCTTATTTGGATAAAATTATACTTCAAATAGAGATTTCATTTTTTAAATGAAGGGAGAATTGAAATAATTATATTAGTCCATTAATTACTATAAGATCATTTGTGGTCTGTTACAAAGAAACAACCAAATCAGCGTCACAAGCCTACATGTTACCCAAAAGGCTTTAGGGAAAGCCTTCGTAAATTTCATGAACTACGTCAGCAACACTTGGGCCACACTGTACATTCCCTTAGGGCTGTATTTTATCATTTACTCTCACAGTAAATGCCTCTCACAGAACCAACTAGAGGCCTTTTAAAACACAACCTATGTTCTAAAATGTAGGGGGATGGTTTAGGCATATGAGTGGGTTAGAGTCACGGGGTCTTCAGTTTTCCTCTGATTTAAAGAGTCTGTGATATCTAACACTTGTGTTTTTCAATTTTTTTCCTTTTGTAATATGATCTGCATTTTAAGTAAGCAGATTTTTATTTAGAAGCTTTGCATTTCACAACATTCTTGATATCTTTCATAATTTTTGATTGCCAACAATAAATACCCCGTACTGAAAACCAAAACAGAGCCGAGCATAGTGGCACATGCTTGTGGTTCCAGCTATTCAGGAGACTGAAGTCAGAGGCACCCTTGAGCCCAGGAGTGTGAAGCCTTCCTGGGTGATATTGCAAGACCTTGTCTCTTTAAAAAGAGAGAGAGAGAGAGAGAAGGAGAAAGAAAAAAGGAGGAGGAGGGAAAGAAAAAGAAATTACACCTATAAAAACAGTAGGAATTACGTAGCTAATGGTGGAAATTTTTTACTTTAATAACAGATCTCTATAAATGTTCACACACACACGTTACACCTCCCCTTACACAGTAATTCCAAATGTGCAGTATAAATATCTCCATATTCCTGTATCTACTTAGCAAAGACAGTGCCTCTTTTAACACTGGATATACAGAGTGCTTAAACATTCTTGCAACCTTTAGCATCATTATTCATTAACTATAATCACTTTCATTTATATAGCTTTTATCAATTTATTAAGAACTCCTATGTGATTTGAATTTAGCTATTTACACTATTAAAGAGTCAAAGGCCTTGAGAAATTATAAGTGAGGCAATGAAAGCTAGGCAAATCATGATTTAAGTTTCTATCTAGCTTCCAACTGCCCAGGGCTAAAAGTGGAGGGTTTAATTATAAGACCTCTAACTCCCTTAAAGCCAAGAGTTATTGGCAGGCACTGTATTTGGAATTCACAATTTCATGAGCTCTGGACAGAAACCCAGCTAAGCAAATACAATGTCTTTCTGCTAGCAGGGTTGATTTACAGAGAATCCTTTATGTAAATAATTAATAGAAAAGTAATAAATATGCCATAATTGTTTCAACTTCAGGCTTTCTTTAACTAAGTGTGAGTGTATACAGCACTCTTCTCTTAATGGCTTTGCTCGGCTTGTAAACTCTGAAACTCTGTTTCAACTTCAGGCTTTCTTTAACTAACTCTGTTTCAACTTCAGGCTTTCTTTGCTGGCTTGTAAACTCTGTCAGAGCAGTGAACATCTCTTTGCATTTCATAAACATGTATATTTATTTTAGGCACCCAGAAGTTTCAAAGAAAAGTAGTGATATTATGTTTTCTATGAATCTGCTCATAAAATGAGTTTTTTTTTTTAAAATGTGTTTTGTTTTTTTTAAACTCAAGGATGTAAACAAAGCACATCCTTGGTGACTTTTTGGCTGAGGCACCACCGCTATCCAGGCCCATCCTCCCCATCAACAAAAGGTGTTAGAATTATAGATAACTGGCATGGGAGGCACTCAATTCCACACTTGTAAATAAATAACATACTTTTAAGGATGCAAAACATGAAAGATGCTGATCTTAAATGAGTGTCTACTATGAACAGAGGGTTTTGGGGGAAGTAAATGGTGTGTGTTGGGGAGTGGGCTATAACAGGGAGAGGGAAAATGATAATAGTGGCCTTGGAATGTGTGTTTCAAACCACGTGGACAAAGGGGAAATAGTCACTCACTAGTTGGGTGGCTGGTTCTGTGCCAATCACTGAGCCACACTGAGCCAGCTGTAAAGCGGCAGCTCAGACCTTCATTTGTGGGACATCAAGGCCACCCTCCTCCTAGTACATCATGATTCCTCTCAATCACCGCTTACCCAACTTAATTGTACCAAGTACACATATGGGACTGAGGTGCAGGGAGATTTTAAGAGAGGATGTCATGATCTCTCCAATGCTGGTCACCTTGATGATTTTATAATTAAACTTTAATTGAGATTGGATTGGATTCAAGAAATCCTATTGGGATTAAAGTGCTACCAAAATTCCTTCTGTAGATGAACTTCTTTTTGTTTGTATTTAGCTGCCCCATTTTATACATGTACTTATTGTTTCTTATTAGAGAAGCACCTTAGTAAGATACTTTGAAGCTGGCATGGTTGTGTGCAATCTTCTATCCAAAACAAACAAAAAAAAAAATACTTCACTATGTTTCTTTTAACATAGTATGCCTATTCATTTTTTCTCTTTCTTCCTATTAATTCAGGAATGCTGGGAAAACCAAATGAAATTAAAAATACCTAGAAAAAGTGCCCAATAATGACATATATTAATGACTTAACAATTTGTGGGCATTTATTTTTCAAAGCTGTGATCTTTAAGGGACATTCTTTCCTGGATTGACTATTTTAAAGTTACTGGACACATAACTGCCAAATAGTACCTCAACTAAATGCAGAAACGTTGCCTTTCACCCACTGTTAGTATTATTTTTGACCTATCTGAGTTTTAAAGATGATTCATAAGTTAGTCTTCCCTATTCTCTAAAAACTAGCTTTCATTGTCCTCAAAAAAGATGATTGAGGAACAAAAGAAGACAAAATCAGGGGAAGACAATGAGAATCCTTTTTAAAAAAAAAATGTGTAAAGAAACAGAGAATCATTGTTTAAACTAAATTATTGATAATCTCAAGGAACTGCTTTCACCAGTTGATTCAGCTATTATTGATGGTACATAAATGTAAAAACATGGCAGGAATTAAGATCCCAGCAGAGTTACTGATATGAGAGTGACTACAGGCATTTCAGTAGAAAAAAAAAAAGAAAATATTTGAGTTTGTCTTTCTGTACCTTGTTTTACTTTGCATGGGAAAGTAATTAAAAAATTTTTATACTGGAAATAATTTTGCTTTTTTACATATTTAAATTTATTTTCTTTTTAATTTTATCTAAATATAAAAAAACCTATTATCTAATTATCGTCTTTCATATTAAGTTTGTTTTGCTTCCTTCCAACTTTTAAAGGCTCTGAGGCTTTAAGGGCAAATACTTTGCATCCCTTCGGTGAAACCGTAAAAGGTCTCAATCGGCCGTGGAAGAGCACCTGTGTTACGCCTCAAAGGAAAATATGAACTACAAAATGTTACGGAGGAAATTTTATCAAATACTTTCGAAATTTAGAATTAATTAGTTTTGAAAATAGTTGAATGTTAGATTCACTGCCTCCGGCTCCCCCACCCTTCCTGAGGTTCCTCCTCCTCCTCAGCTCCTGACAGTTGTACATAGTCCCGCCATGTCCATTTCTTGCACGGCACGAGCAAACCAAACCAATTGTTTTTGTTCTTGGCTTAAATGATGCAGATAAAACGAGGTATGGCCATCATATCAGTTTCTGCTCTGTGTGATTTATGGAATCAATTGATTTTAAGATCCATCAAACAAAACACTGGAAGTAAATTCACAGAAATTATAATACTGCATATAATATTGTCACTCCATAAATGGCCTGTACAAATTGATATTAAGAACATTATAAGCAAAATAATTAGGCAAAAGATGTAATCAGACAATTCACAAATGATAGAATTATAAAACAGTTTAAACCCCCATGCAAGAATGTTCAATTCCATTATAATCAAAGTAATGCATATTAAACAATGGGTTAGCATATTATGCTTATGAAATTAGTAAAGGTTTTTTAAATGAGACTAGCTTGTTAAGGAGAAGCACTGCTAGGATGAGAGTGAATTGGCATCACTCTTAGAAAAGTAATTTGGCACTAATGAGATAAAATGTTCATAAACCCTTATTCAGTAATTTCAATTCCAGAAATCTTTCCTAAGAAAATAATAACCCTTAATATAGAAAAAGCTGTAGAGTTGTTCATCTTTCTGTCACTTATATATATATTAAAAAACTGGATACAGAATGTCTACAGACAAATGACTAAACCCAATAGATGTCACTTTTGTGCATTCATTTACAAAGATTAAGCAGAAGTTATAACAAAGGAAATTATAGTAATGTTAGTGAAAAAAGCTGTATACATGATTTGATATATATGATTCTTTCAGTTGTGAAAATCAAACTATGTATGATGTATAGAAATAAAAGTTGCAAGGAAATACAACATAGTATTTTGGGTTATATGGTGATGGAAAATATTTAAGATTTTTAAATATGTATTTCACTGTTCTCCCACTTTCCATAACATGCACGTTTTCTCTTATCACAAAAAGATGTCTATTTAAGGAATAAAAAGTACACAAAAGAATACAGGAGAAATGAACCATCCATGTGGGTTCACAACAGTGAATCTCCAAAGAAGGAGTCATCCTTCACGATCCATCGCACAAGCAATTGACTTTTCACTGGCCTTTTCAAATTGTCATCTCTCTGAATGTTGACAATTGGATTGATTGCCAGGAAGACACTATAGTGCCTAATCTCTGAAGAATTAGAATGTAGAATGAGAGTTAAACCTATCCTCCTTAATACCTAAAGATAACTAAATATGATCAACAAAAGCTTCTTTAAAAATAACAAGAACTTCAAATGGCATCATTATCAACAAACATTTATTGAACGGTTACAACTTACTTTATATTAGAAATCACTATTTTTTTTCTTTCAAGAAAAAATTAGCAAGTTACACTCATCATTATATTTCAAGACAGACTCTAATCATACTAAAGGTTAATTCACATTTTAAAAAATTGTGCTAATTACTTTGCCAATATTAAAGGTCTTTTTGTTAGGACTTAGGAATTATTAAGTGAATTATTCAGCGTACAGATGAAACAAATGAATTAAAAATGCCACTTACCTGACATGCTTTTTTTTCAGGAAAGTCCATATGTAGCCATAAGGCAAATCTAGGATTAAAAATGCTTCCACGAGTTTTTTCTTCTATTTGATGTCACTCTGTTAAGTTAGAAGCAGCATGGCAGCAAAACTTGTCTTTATCAGTGCCTCACATGTTTTTTCTCTTCTGTTTCTTAAAACCTTTTGTGTGTACTTTGTTCAGTTACAAACAGGAAATGTGGCTTCTAAAGTTTTGATCTGAACACAGTAGATGTATATTGGTGTGTAACGTGGGAAGAAAAACTCCCACAAACCTCCATGTTCTGGTAATTGAATTGTTACCGATATCTGAGTCTAATTTAAAAATGAACAGACAAAAGTATGAATTAAACTGGGAGGAATCTTTCCTATCTCTGGAGCAAACACAGGAATCTCCTCATAAGTGCATTCAAATGGAAACAAAATAAAATATACTAAAGTAGTGAGTGAATAGCAACACCTCCGTGAGCACCTCCGTGAACCCCTCCTTGTAGTCAGCTGTTGTGTTTGGAGAAATGGTGGTGGTCAGGGAATTAATTCCATCCCCCTGGGAGATTAGAGGCCTACCTTATTTCCTGCCAACCCTCACCCAGCCAGAATAAGTCCCTCTGCGCTGTAAAGTGTCACCTGGCAATTTTTAGTTCCAGTTTCAACTGCCACCCAAGAGCCTCAGTATCAGAAGTTCTTAAAAGTTGGTGTACGTAAGTATGCAATGTGGCAATAGTTTAAAATGCATTAGTTTAAAATCCAGAGCCCTACTAAATCAAAATATTTAGGGTGAAGCACTGGATTGTGCATTTTAACAAGTAGATTTTCCAAGTAGATTGTAACATATACATGTATATGTGTGTGTATGTGTATACATAAGAAAATATACTATTTCAATATAGCTATTCCAGACAATGTTTTCATAAATCCATATAGAGAGAGCACAAAATCAATCTTATTCATCATTAAAACTCCAGAAGTTAGAATTATACCTGACACATTATAGGTGTCAGTGAATAATTCTCACAATGATTGAATAAATTAAACACTGGTAGAGTCTTCTACTTTTTCTTTGCTCCCTGGTCAGCAAAGGAACTGCTTCTTTATTCTTTGGACAGAGCTGGCTAAACACTAACACATTTTCTACTTTGATCCCTTTTTCCCAAAATATTTCTTGTGAGTCGTTGAATTAGAACCTATAAAACTGAAAGAGACTATGGAGATTCTCCAGTCTAATCATTAAAAAGCATTTTAAAACTCTGTTCCATAGAACACTGGGCCTTTAAGAAACTCTTAGAAAACAAATGCTCCTTCAACAAATATATCTGGGAAAACTATACAGTGTTATTTTCACCTCTATAGATGCATATAGGTATATTAAAGGCTTACGTACATCCTATAAAAAGGAAATGTAAATAATCATTTTATCAGAGCCTTTTCTAATCTTATTTGGCCACAGAATTCTTTGTTCAACAGCTTCTTATTAGTAGGTGACAGGTTCTACGGGGCAGGGCTGGATATCCACAGGCCAAGATATCAAGGGAATAGCAGTGTCAGCTTTACAAAGGGCCCAAAGAACAGCAGAGAATCAGAAAGTTTCTTCCTAGAACTAAATGAACATAGGGATAGAGACTGCTAAAGAACTTCAACTCAGATGTCAGTTCAAGAGAAGAGTGGGTGGCCTTGAGGGGCTGGGCCTCAGGACTGAAGGAGGGAAACTGGTTCCAAGGGTAGAAGCATAAGCCTCAAGAATGACTGCACAGCCGGGCATGGCGGCTCACGCCTGTAAGCCTAGCACTCTGGGAGGCCAAAGCAGGTGGAGTGCCTAAGCTCAGGAGATCAAGACCAGCCTGAGCAAAAATGAGATCTTGTCTCTACTACAAGTAGAAAAACTAACTGGGGGT